AGAAGATGTACTTGCTGCACGTAGTGCTGGAGTTATTATAAGGGAGATTTGTTTTAAGCTGGGTGCTCAAGGAAAGCTCCCTAGAAGAAATGATGAATAAACTATGATCTAGAGGGTTGTAGATGAACCAGGTCAATAGAGAGGGGAAGAGAGATGCAGGCACAAGAGAAACCAAAGTTTCTGGGTTGGGAAAAAGCCAGCAGTGCAGAGGCTGGAGACTGCACCAGGGCATATGTGTTATGGAATCTGACTTACCTTGGAAAACGGGAAGTCACTGAAGTGCTTTAAGCCAGAGAGGGGATGGGTTGAGCTGTGATAAGATATGATTTACCTTCCCCAAGACTCTCTGATCCTGTGCAGAGGAAAAATTTGGGGGCAGCTGAATTGGATTAGGAGTTAGGTGACTTGGACAGGAGGCTTGAGTGCGGCCTAACATCCCCTAACCCCGCAAAGAGTGACTCTTCTTAGCAAAAGTCAGCGTTTTGCTGCAAAAATAAAATAAAAGCTGAAAATGTATTTCCCAACTTATAAGGAAATGGAATACCAGCTACATTGAACCCAAATGATTTTTTAAACGTAATTGTTCCCCTGCGGAGTCTATAAGCTTCTTTTTTCTTTTTTGAGATGGAGTTTCGCTTTTGTCGCCCAGGCTGGAGTGCAATGGCAAGATCTCAGCTCACCACAATCTCTGCCTTCTGGGTTCAAGCAATTCTGCCTCAGCCTCCCAAGTACCTGGGATTACAGGCATGCACCACCATGCCCAGATAATTTTGTATTTTTCGTAGAGAGAGAGTTTCACTGTGTTGGCCGGGCTGGTCTTGAACTGCCGACCTCAGGTAATCCGCCCGCCTTGACCTCCCGAAGTGCTGGGATTACGGGCCTGAGCCAGCACACCTGGCCAACTACAAGCTTCTCAAAGGTGGGAAATGTGTATTATTATTCACTGTGTCTTCAGGCCCAACATACCAGAGAAACTGATTAAATGGTTGTCAAATACATGAAGAAAGCATGGTATGTTTGTTTGCTAGGGTCGCCATAACAAAGTACCACAGACCAGGTGGCTGACACACTAGAAATGTATTTTCTCATCTTCTAGGGGTAGAAGCTTGGGACCTGCTGAGTGCAGAGGCTCACACCTATAATCCCAGCACTGTGGGAGGCCAAGGAGGGAGGATCACTTGAGGCCAGGAGTTTGAGACCAGCCAGGAAAACAGAGCAAGACCCTGCCTCTATTTTTTAAAAAGAAGTCTGGGATGGAAGTGTGGACAGGCGGGCTCCTCCTGAGGTCTGAGGAAGGATCTGTCCAGGCCTCTCCCTCTGCCCTCTAGATGGCTGCTCTGTCATTTTCTTCCCAACCTCTTCCTCGATGTGTGTTTCTGAACCCCAATTTCCCCTTTATGACACCAGGCGTTTTGGAATAGAGCCCACTCTAATGACCTCATTTTAAGCTTGACTGCCTCTCTACAGACCCTATCACAATCCAAATAAGGTCACATTCTGAAGCATCGGGTGTTAGGATTTCAACATAGGAATCTGAGGAGATACAAATTAGCACATAACCCATGG